ATGGTTAATAGAAGTTATGTGATCATTTCGCCAATTGAAAAAACGTCAACATTATAAACTGTATTTCTACTGCACTACAGTTCAGAGGTACATGGTGTAAGGGAAACTTCTGCAGCAATGGAGAGTCAGGACTCAGAGAGACACGAGGAGAGTTGGAGTTTTGATGTCAAACACTGGTAGTTTATTACAAGCATCGGCCGGAGAATTCATATCACAAGTCACAGCAGCAAAAGGTTCTGACTGCACGGGTGGGTTGTCATGTCAATTCTGATCACCCTCCCATCTTGGTAGACCTTTTAACTAGCTTCACTAAGAGTCAACCCACATATTGGGGGAAGGTATACGTGAACACCTGGAGGGACTGAATCACTTATCTGACTCTATGGCTCTGTGACCGAGAGTTGACCGGTCATAAAACAGGTAATGTCAACAATAGCTGAGACTTCCCATTCCTTAAGACAGATAACAGACTTAGGGTTCGTCGTAAAACGTCAACAGGCAATAAAGTTAAATATCTTAGGAGTAAGGAAGAATTAATATTTGACACTTAGGGAGAGAGAAGAAATATTCTCTAACACATGGTGTACTTCTACTCCACTACAGTTCAGAGGTACATGGTGTACTTCTACTGCACTACAGTTCAGAGGTACATGGTGTACTTCTACTCCACTACAGTTCAGAGGTACATGGTGTATTTCTACTCCTCTACAGTTCAGAGGTACATGGTGTACTTCTACTGCACTACAGTTCAGAGGTACATGGTGTACTTCTACTCCACTACATGTATTTAATCCCTTTAGTTTCTTTACAGATGTGGATGAATGATGTGAAATATAATCAAGTGTAATCAAGGCTTTAGTTTGCACAGGTTTTATTGTGATGTAGGTTTCTCTCAGGTCAATCAAAAGAAAGCGTTGCTGTATTATTACATTCAAAGGTTTGCATCATATTTTTTTGAGGAGTTTTATTATTTTATTCATATTTGAATAAAACGAAATTTCCTTTGCTATATTTACAGTTCACACTGAATATGTGGTTTGTTATCTACTGATATAATGGTTAATAGAAGTTATGTGATCATTTCGCCAATTGAAAAAACGTCAACATTATAAACTTGGAGGGAGATTCAATTTATTTAAATGGCAATGATGATAATTATTCTTTTATTTAAACCTTGCTTTTGTAAAGTAAAACCAAAAGATAATGAATAACCAGTATTATATCCCTACACATTTTACAATTAGTTTCTATATATTTTTCTTCTTTTTGCCTAATCATGTTTTTTTGCATATTTCATTTTTCAAAATGTATCTCTGTGTGTAAAAAGGCTTTAATATGTTGGCTTTTATTCACCTATTTGGTTCTTTACTGATGTGTATGGTTATGTATTTGTTAGTTTTCATCAGTACTTACTTACTGGTCATATCAAACTGGCATTGAACTTGAGTGTTCTACGGTGTTAAGATGTTTCTGTTAGAATTTAGCAGTGTGCGTTAAAGTGGGTTAGAACCTTTATATATGCAGTCTATGGTTAGAACATGTATTATATTAGTTCGGTCAAAACCTCACGCTCTTATTTTGAAATCACACTCACTCAATTTCCTGTTGTACTTCGGTTAACTTGAGTCACACTCTTTGATATAATGCTGACAGCCTAAACCCACATCACATTTCTTCTGTTGGTTTTCAACTTGTGATTTTTATTGAAGTTTCATTCATTCTGAAAGTTACTCAAAAAGCAAGATCCTTCCTTTACTATTATTTTTCAGATTCAAGTATGAAATGCTTCTAAAATCCCTCCTCAAATTTCAAGTGTGGTTTTAGGTTAATAATCACTCACTGAACAAATAAAGCTCTTTCCAGGGCTTCAGTTAGCCATGCTCTCACAATCAGCAAGAAATGTAACCAAAGAACTCTCATTGACTCTTTTTTTCTGTGTGTGTGTTTGGGTCAGTGTTGAATCCAGAGTGTGTGTTTCCCTCACACATCTGCAGGAACACACTCAGCACTTCCTGTCCTCGGTCAGGTCCCCTGTCAGCAGCAGCAGTGTTGTTCTAAAACTGGAGAAGCTCTCAGGAATTTATGGCAGCAGCTTACAGACACAATCACAAAATACATGGTGGCTCAGCACCACACATTCTGCACGATGTCACATAATACTTTTTTTATTACATTTGTACTCCACACACACGGTAGTTGTCACATGACAAAGTGGTGTAAAGTGCACGTGGTTTTTGATGTGTGTGAATCCCGGATAAAGCCTTCTGCTGCTTAGTGGACTGAGGTTATGTTTGTGCGACTTCATAAATCGGTCATTTACATCAAATGTAAGAGTCCATTATTCCATTTTATTTTAACCCTCCTATTGTCTTTGTTTCCCCCCTTTACTTTGGTGTTCGCGGTCACATTTGACCGGTCCTGTTTTAACTGCTATTACATTAACACAAAAACTATGAATCATCACCAAATTTAATTTAACACCCTTTCAAACTGTACATATTGTATCAGACTACTGGTATACATGAACAACTGCAGTACATATACAAAGAATAGACACTGAACATGTATTGGTGTGCCAGGTGTGATCCATGTGGGGGGATGGGCACATAACGGGGGGAACACATCTAGTGTGTGTGTGTGTGTGTGTGTGTGTGTGTGTGTGTGTGTGTGTGTGTGTGTGTGTGTGTGTGTGTGTGTGTGTGTGTTATCTGATCTGGATGGTTACTAATTCCTGTTCTTTATGGCGGGAACACCATGGGTGTTACAAAATTCACTAAATCATCCAGAATTCAATGAAAGTGGTGATCAGCAATGTTATATGTTCAAATGTCGACTCTGTGAAGGATATCATGAAGCCTAAATGCAATCGAAAGTAAAACAAAAAAGTTATGATTGATGAAAGTAGTGAATCGGTCAGATTTGACCCGAAGACAACAGGAGGGTTGAACCTGCTTTTATAGTAGATGGTCATTGTATTAAATCATCCACAAAATAAAAATGCTGCAGGAAAATGCACCCACTTTCCAAATAAATCCTATCCGCTAGCTAGATCAACTTAAAGTTGCAATTGACAACTTTTGATAATACTAGGTGATCCTCCATCCATACTAGGATGGTGTTGGGCTGGCTTTCGTAAAAACGACTTTGTTTATACTACAACTGTTAATTTGTGTAACAGACTTAATCAATCTGCTAAAAAGTAAGAAACGTGTCCCTTTAATCTAGTTTAACAGTGTGTTTTTAATATATCCTTTCTTTTTATTTAACCAGGTAAAAGTCTCATTGAGATTCAAATCTCTTTCCCAGACCTGGCCAAGAAGAGCAGCATGAACAAAGTTACAGCAGATAAAACACAGACAATACAGGCAGACGAATACAGCGGTCGTAAAACCCTAATGAAATGGCACATCAACCAGCCAATATGCAAATAAAAGAAACTATTATAACACATTAAAAACTGGCACAATTTAAAACCACTTCAATTATGGGATATAGCAATCGCATCGACCAATGGATTGTTGTTCTCTGTCCTTTAAGATGGACTTGAACTCCCCCAAGGTGATCAAATCTGACGGTTTCAGCTCCTTCTGTACATTCTTCCAAGCTGAGGGGGCAGCTTATTGAAACGATTTTCAGCCCAGTTCTGTTGTCACTAGGAACCAGCATCTGAATCAAACCGTGGGAGGGAGCGCAGGCCATACAGACTTATATGTGCAAATATAAGAGAGAACCAGCTGAGCAGAGATTTATATATAAAACCCAACCAATGGGAAAGTCTGCGTGCAGACATAGATGGCCAATAAGCAGCAGCATACAAAGTGCAGTGGTGTACACGATATCCACATAAATAAGGAATTTAGGAGAATTTGGAGTATTAGCGCAATATTGGGAATTTAAATGATCATTACTAATGTATAACTTCAACCCTTTTTTAAGGGTTTTAAGTTGTAAAGACTTCTTAAAAAGATGCTATATATATTAGTTGTTTCCATTAATAATGAGAACAACATTTGAAGTTGTCAGGTTGTGAAAAGACTCTTTAGAAGGTGTGAGGAATGCGACGGCCATGCCTTCACTTTCTTTGGAGCTCACAGATTTTTCTGGAAGGACTGCAGATCATTTTTAGATCATAATCCATCTTTATGCTATTTACCAACATGTACAACTGGTGGTAAGATTCCCTTAATTAACGACATATTAACATTTATAACTGCAAACGTGTTGGTTTATTAGGTAAGCCTATATAAGTGTATTATCATGAAAGTCGGCTGTCACAGGGACAGACAGGAGAGAGTTTCTCTTCTGCTAACTGGACTTATAACTTCACTGCACATTTTACATTTATATGTCATTTAATATGCCATTTTGCACAATAAATGTAAATAATATCCCACTTTTATATTGCGTTAGCTGTAATTTAGCCCTTCAATAGTGTTTTATTTGTCAGATAGTTTACATATTTTTTCTTTATGGTCAACTTTTATACTTTTACTCTTTTAGTTCTGTTTTATCTTTTATTTTGAGATGTTTATATTGTATAATTGTTGAATGTTTACTCTTTATTTCTAATTATGTGCAATACTTGTTTTACATGCACCTGCAACGAAAAGATTTCCCAATTTGGGAATAATAAAGTATATCTTGTATTTATCTCATCTTAAAGGATAAATAGGATATTTTCCACGCAACCCAGAGGTAATATCATTTAAAAAATGTAATTGCTCTATAAAAACACGAACAAATAATGTTCAAACCATTAGCGAAACAATGTAGTTACAATGTAACAATCCTTACTATTGACTTATATGCAGAAAGTAGTAAGATAATAACTGTAACAGTTGGTTTTCTACTGTACTCTAGAGGGCGCTACTTCTGAACATGGATCTAAACTCTGCGGAATTGAGCCATTACTGCAACTCTGTTGTGTTTGTATGTCAAGTCAAATACTGTTAAAAAGGCCACATCCGTTCAATGCTTTCAAAACAAAAGTATAGTGAGTCTTTTGACATGATAGTGATTTTGTTTGGAAAGGAGATACCTGTGACATCCGGCGCTACTCGTGTGACTTTGATACACATAACTACTGTCTTTCAGCATCATCCAAACATTAGCTTGTTGAGTAGCTTTTAGCTATCCAAACTCTTCATAAAATAGAGCTTCTGGCCAAGTAAACCTATGAGTCGTAAAAGGAACCACAGTTTCGCTGAAACGAGCCTGTCTCCCGAGCTGCACGGAGCCTTCATGGAGCCTCCCGGGTCTGCGAGCCGAGCCGACGCAGATTTCTTGGAGCTGGAGCCCGACGAGGAGCTGCTGTGCTCGGTCAGCGACATCACCGAACACCTCGGCAGAAACATCACCGTGGTGCTGGAGACCGCGCTGTCCGAGATCCGCAAGATGGTCAGCATCAGGATACGAGTGCTAAAAATGGAGCTGCGGGAGAAAAGTGAAGAAATTCAAGTGTTAAAGGCCAGACTAGATACAGTCGATAGGGATGGTAGGGACACTGTCCCCGGTCCAACCACCATGGAGTCTGCAGAGGCTGGCTTCAAGAAGCATGACTGCAGCAACAAACACAGCGGTGCCGACCCCAGGAGAGCCAAAGCCCTCCTGCCCGGGGTGAAGAAGGAGAATATAGATGCTATCTGCGACTATCTCATGAAAGACAAGAACTCGAGGGGGTGTGCCGACATGGACGGAGACCAGAGCAGCCAAGCCAGCAGCGACAGGGAGGCTCGCCAAGATCCGATCCCGCACTCCCTCCACCTGTGGCCGGACAGCGGCATGGCTGGCTCCGGGCCCGGGACCGGAGACCCAGAGTCAGCCGCGGACGACCTGTTCAGTATGCTCCCCTCTGGCAGCAAACGGATGTATGACTACGAATGGATTGCACCGATGGAATACTCTGAAGACATAAAAGGTAAACACACAGGTGTGCGTGGAGGCATAGAGCTGTTACTTCACACCTGAGGTATGCTACTACTGAGGATATGCAGTAGACCTATGGAAGAACATTTCAGCCAGCAAATACAAGCTGAAAGGAATCAAAATCTGAGCAAAATACCAGTGACCCTATCAAATATATAATGGTGGATTACAGATACAGATACCTGTCTGCAATGCTGAAACTATAGTTAAAATTCAATCATGAGTACATTTCAGTACATACATTTCGAAGAAGGGTTGGTCTATATTCATAAACACTATTTATGAAGCAATGTACTTTAGTCAACCATCAGATATTTAGTTATACCGTTTAGATTGTTGTACTCCCACGGTACAGATACATCTCATGACCGAAACCGAATATTATTATTAATATAATTTCACAAACTAACTTTAAAAATAACCTCATTATATTTGTGTGTGTCTTTGTATGCACAACATATACCAAAGCAAATTCCTCGTATGTGTAAACCTACTTGGTAATAAAACCCATTCGGATTCCCGTCATCTGTTTTTGCACACCTAGAGATTTGGATAGCAAAGATCGATGTTTTAATAATCCATAGCTATGACCTAAACCAATATACTGATTGTTATGGTTAACACAAAATGGTTTATTTTTTCTTCAATTTTTTTGTAGTTCATTACATATAAAAATATATGTACTGTAGCGAACAGTCACTTTGAGACTTATGTTGGCTCCTCACTCTGACGCATTTCAAGTAGAAAAGTCTGTACTGAAGTTATAGTTATGATGTTGAAAAGAAACAAACAATAACTTAAAGAGGAAAATGTCAGAGCCAGCTCGCCCTCTGTCATACAAATTCCCGGCCAACAACAGGTGGACTAAATATCCATAAACCACACCAATGTGACAATGTGAAGTTCTTTTAAATACAAATGTGTCCAATCTAAAATAATAACAATAATGGAAATAATTAACTCTGGCTAATTGAGCATTGTGGCTCCTTGCCGTCCCTGTTTTCTGAGATCAAGTTAAACGTGATGTTGATTTTCCCAGACATGAAGGGACCCGAGTGCGAGAACCCCCCGACCGGTGAGACAGAGGATGAAGAGGAGGAGGAGGAGCAAGACGAGTCGTCGAGGAGAGAGGCGGGGGGGCTGGAGCAGGCGCCGACCCCCCTGTCACACGTCCCGACCTCAGAGTTCTCCATGGGGCCCCAGAGCTCCCCAGGGGAGGGAGGGAGTCCCCTGGAGGGCCACACCGACAGGCCCGTGGCAGGTGGGTAAGGGAAAGGAATGGTCACTGGACTGCATTTAAATACTTTAAAACCTAAATGAAATTCACAGGTTCAGTTTTATCCCACTCCTCAAACCTCCACCCCCCTAAGTGTCTCACTCGTAGAGCTCAATTTTCCATCTGTTTCAGGGGAACAAACATCTGGAATGACTTTCTATCATAACAAAAAACTGTCCCTCGCTGCATGCTTTGAAACAAATCATTTAAAGAGCAACTTGCAGGTTAGAGACACCAGTGTGTAGGAAAATGATGAATACACTAGATTTCCCCAAAAAGATACAGAAATATACATTACAGTGACATCTGGCGTCGTTTTAGTAAGACATTTTTACTTCCGCATAAAAAAGCCTCCGCACGTGACCTCCCGCGTGTGACGTAACATGGGGGAGAGCGGCCGGTCTAACGTATGAATAAACATGAATCACAATGCTAGTTTTGACACAGAAGAGGTTGAAAATATATATTCGAATGCATATGATTATAATGATGAGCCTGCTATGCGTCCAAGAGACCAGGAGCAGCCAAGGATTAGAAGAAATAACGGCCATCGGAGAGAAATGGAGCTTTGGTGTGTGGAGAACCAGTGGAGAACAGGGCTGCTGTCTTGGTGAGTGACCGGCGTTAGCTACAGTTAATGTTAGCTAACGCCAGTCACATCACAACATTGTAAAGTTAGCTATCATATATCAGGCTATAACTAAAGTAGTATTGATAATATAGTAACGTTACTGGCAGGACTGTTGATACTGATCCATAACAGAAACTAATGCGCAAGTATCAGCCGTATCTCGCGTTACCTAATGCAACTCCACACTACATCTAACGGCCCGTCCACACAGCAGCGTTAACAAATCTTCCAACGCTTCTGCCTATTCACTTTGAATGGGGTGACGTCACTTTGCGCCGAACTGCATTGTGGGAAGCAAAGCGAAAATTTCCAGGATTTTCAGGATTCAAAAGTTGAGCAATGTTCAACTTTTGAAGCTGAGGTGGAAGCATCAACCAATCAAACCACGTGCAAGCTGGGAGAGCCAGACCGCAGTTCATTTTCTATACTCCTAACAAAATGGAGGAGAAATTAGTTATTGCGGTAGCAAATCACCCGGTTCTTTATGACCAGTCCCTATTTACTTACCAGGATACAAACCGGAGGAACCAGGCATGGAGGGAGATGGCAGAGACAGTGGGTGAAACTGGTAGGTTTTCGCCTGTTTGGGGATTTTATATCCAGTTTACTTCGTTTTAACATTGCTATTGCTTTGTATGTCGGGGGATTTTTAAACGTTGGACTCGATGTCCTGACACTGACAGGCTGGAGTTTGTGCAACCTGCACAAACTCCAGCTCACCATGATTACAAATGGCGAAATGCAATGTAAAATGACCGAAAAAATACCAGCTCACTAAATCACAACCGCTCAAAACTACAAACTACTACCGCGGATTGGGCAGAGAAGGAGTCCGAGATAGTTGCTCGTTATATGACGCGTTTGACGTATAACGTTAAAAAAAAGCAGTTTTTAGTAGCAGAGCTCAAAACGGCTCCTTTCCCTCTGAATTCCTGCCCTTATGTCTCGTGAAACAAATAAAATCCTGCATGAACTTTTTAGATTGTAATTTTCAGGCAAGGTTAAGCATAAATGTAGTAAAGAAAAAAACCTGCAAGTTACTCTTTAAATAAAAATGTGAAGTATCTGTTGTTCTTAAAGTTTGCCATTTTTATTGAATATAAGCATTGCTTGTATATTGAGCTTGTCATGAAATTATGATTTCTAACATTGTTTAGTTTTTTTTCCTCTTCAAAACCGTTTGCAAAACCATTAAATAAAAAATTAAATAATGCTTTACAACACTAGCAAGCATTACCCATTCACATATTCATACAGTGGGATTCCAGCTGCTAAACATTCACACGCTCACTCGCGATTAGGAGTATTTGCGAATGATGTGAGTGACCACTGTGCTGTTGCCACAATTAGGGACACTAAGGTCCAAAACGTTAAACCTCATATTATCATCAAGAGAGACATAAAACATTTTGTGGAGCAGGGTTTTGTTCATGATCTGTTTGATTTTGATTGGGGTAAAATCGATCTGTGTGCTGATGTAGAAACTGCATGGTCTTATTTTTATCTTGGTTTTATGGAGATCATTGATAGACATGCACCCCTGCGTAAATTTAGAGTAAAGGGACGAGACAATCCTTGGTTTTCTGCTAATCTGTCCAGTCTCCTTCATGAGAGAAACAAGGCCTGGGCAAAGGCTAGGAAATCAGGCTCAGATGTAGAATGGCTGCGTTTTAGGCAGCTAAGGAATAGCTTCACTTCACATGTCAAAAGTGCTACATCTAAGTATTATCTGTCAGTAACCACAAAGAACCTGAACAACCCTAGAAAATTCTGGAAAGCCATAAAATCGATATCCACCAGTGATATCCGTAATGAGCTACCTCCGTGCCTTACCACAGTATCTGGCACTATATTGGACAGGGCCACTATGTTAAATTGCTTTAATGAGCATTTTGTGTCCTGTGGCGCTCTGTTTGATTCTGTCACTAACTCTGCTTCTGTGAACACCACAGTCGGTGACTCAGAACAATGTGGTCTGGAAAATCCTTTCAGTTTTACTCCTTTTACTGTTGATGTTGTTCGTGAAGTCTTAACCAAGCTAGATCCTAAAAAGCCGGCTGGTCCGGACAACGTAGAACCTTTCTTTTTAAAGATAGCTGCAGATTTTATTGCTCCACCTCTCACTACTCTTTTTAACCTCTCCCTCAGCACGAACAAAATCCCAAAAGTATGGAAGTCAGCGTATGTCCTTCCACTACTAAAAGGAGGGGAGGCCACCTTATTAAACAATTATAGACCCATCTCTAAATTATCAGTTCTGGCTAAGGTTCTTGAACGCCTAGTGAGTGAACAAGTAAAGGAGTTTTTATGTACAAATGACATCCTGTCTAAACATCAGTCAGGCTTCAGAACGCAACATAGCACCATCACTGCCACAATAAAAGTGGTAAATGATATTATGAGTATCTTAGATAATAAGCAGAGTTGTGCAGCTCTATTTGTTGACCTATCCAAAGCTTTTGATACCGTCGATTTTGAAGCAGAGGCTGGTCAGTATTGGCATATCCAGCCATGCAGTGGGTGGTTTGTGAACTACCTCTCTGAAAGGTCCCAATGTGTTCAGTTTGATGGGCTGTCTTCTGAGTGGTTAAACATCACTAATGGTGTACCACAAGGTTCAGTTTTAGGTCCGCTATTATTCTCTATCTATATTAATAGTTTAGGTGAAAATGTCGAAGGAGCAACCTTACATTTTTATGCGGACGATGACGATGAATTACAGGCTGTTTTTAACATTATTCAGGCTCAGCTCTCTGAGCTTAAGCTTCTTTTAAATGTGGATAAAACCAAGGTAATGCTCTTTTCTAAAGCTAAAAATACACCGGAGACTGCTTTGGATATTGTAACTACGCAAGGAATACAACTTGAAGTGGTTACCTGTTACAAATACTTGGGCATCTGGCTTGATGACTGTCTCACTTTTACATTTCATGTAAATAACCTGCTTAAAAAGCTGAGGGTTAGGCTAGGTTTCTTTTACAGAAATAAGTCCTGTTTCTCGCTTGAGGCCAGGAAAAGGCTAGTCACTGTGACCTTTTTACCTGTGCTGGACTATGGTGATTTGTTATATGAATGCACCTGCCAATTACCTGAGCAAGTTAGATGCTGCGTATCACAGTGCACTGAGATTTTTGACAAATTGTAAAGCACTTACGCATCACTGTACCCTGTATACCAAGGCGGTTTTGCCATCACTTACTGTACGGAGGCTCAGTCACTGGTACTTTTTCATTTACAAAGCCATGTTGGATAAACTACCATCTTATATCTGCTCCCTGATCTCTGCGAATTGAAAGTACTTATTGCCTGAGATCGCATGCTGTGGTTTTATTAAATGTGCCAAGTGCTAGGACTGTCTTCGGGAAGAAAGCTTTTAGATGTGCAGCTCCACTAACATGGAACAGTCTGCAAAAAGAATGGAAAATTACCACGCTAGTACCACTACATGTTTTTAAAGCTCGGTTGGATGCTACAAAATCAGATGCTGTTGGTACCTGTACATGTGGTTAAATATGTAAATTGTAATCCCTGTACATTTTGCTGTATTATGTCCTTTTGTTGTTCTGTTGTTTATGTCTTCTTGTGGAACCTACTGCTGCAGGTCTCCCTTGAAAAAGAGATCATTGATCTCAATGGGATTTTACCTGGATAAATAAAGGTTTTGAATTGAATTGAATTGAATTTAGGTTTCAATATCTTGCCCAAGGACATTATGAGTTCATCCCTAATGATGGTCATGATTGCAAAAACAAGACTGAATATGTAATAAACTCCAATGAAAGATCACAAAGCGTTGGTGTAAATCCTTTTGATCTAATATTCTCTACCTCCCCCCCCCCCCACTCCTAGCACAATTTTGGAACATGCTGTTCACCCGCACCGTTTGATCATTTGAGGGAAGCATCTTAGTTAAATGGCAGCTCAAATATTAATATCCAGTGAACAGAAATGTTACCCTGTGGATTTAACATAAAAAGACATGATGGTGCTGCTGAAAATATGTAAGTGATAATGTGCAACGACGCAGTGCTTGAATTGAGCCGGTACTCACCGGTACGCAGTACCGGCACTTTTTACCCATGTGGAACCGGCACCTTGCCGGTACTCAGACGCCGGCCGCCGGCGGCACGTCATGACGGCCCGGACTGGCCATCGGGAGGACCGGGAGGTTTCCCGATGGCCTGGCCTGTTAAGTGGCCTGTTGGCCTGAGGATTTTTTTTATGTATGTATTGTGAACGCAACGCTGCGCAAATGTGGGTCTGACTCTGCCTCACAGAGGGTGACTGGCTACATGATGTGGCCTGCCGACATGGCCACATTCATACAGATCATACTAATGCCCTCGATTGGTCTCTGTGTGTCATTCAAGCTCGGGAGGGTGGGTGTTAGTGTGTGTGTGGCGCGAGAGAGAGAAAGCGCTCGCACCGGTTACGTATATTGTTGTTGTTAGCATCTGGTGCTAGCTAGCTGCGCTAATGGATATAAGGAGCTGTTTCATCAACAAGGTGGGGGGAGAGTCCTCTGCTGTCAGACTGAGAGGCTGATAACTACAGCTCAGGTGAGGTACAGGACTCTGAGTGTTTAGATAGTTAACTTAGTCTAAGTTATCTCTGTGGGTCTCAAACGGTTTGGTCACCATTTATGTAAACACATATTTCCATTTGAAGGGGTAGTGATTAGTAAAATCTGCATGAATAATAAAAAATAAAATGTTAACTAGGTGAAAAAAGGTAAGATACACTTGTTGAGAGCTAAAACTAGTCTTTGCTGCTGCCTCAAAGAGGAGCAGGGGGAGAGGAGAGGCTAATTCAGGAGCACAGACACACTCACAACTATAAATGAACCAAAAACAAATAAATAAACACGTTTCAGTGTTTTTCATATTGGATATGGTATGTTATTGGTTATGGCCATGTACTTATGATTTTAAAAGGTATACAGTTATGTTTCATATGGGTTTAGTCTCTTTATTTCCCTCTCAAAGTGAACCAGATTGATGCATTTAAGTCGAACATTTAAAAAAAAATCTTACCGGGGAAGCATGCCCCCGGACCGCCCTATAGGATTTGAGGTCCACCCCCACTTAAAATATGTTCACATGAATAGGTTCCTAAATATATTTGCAATTTTTTAAAAATAGTAACCCATCTCCATATGTTTATTTTTGGGTAGTAGATTTAAACTAGAGGGCTATCACTATGGGCAGCAACGCTGTAAATATTGACAAATAAATCCAGCAAAATGGCACAAAAAACTGGTAGCTGGGTGTATAATTCCCGGCCTGACTTATTGTCCCAGTCCGGCCCTGATTGACGCATGACAACAAATATGCCCAGCGTACCTATGACGCGCCACGGCGATAGACTAGAGCAGAAAAGACATCACATAACGTTAGCAATTTCGTAAATGTTAGCCTGGCTTAATAATAGTGCGAAAAGACAGCGGTTGTCGCCGGACAAGGATTCCCTCTCTCCTTTCCTGCTGAAAGATGGTGAGTGTACTCAGGGAGGAGGAGTCATTTAACCAGCCGCCAGTAGGAGTCAGGCTTTACTTTCTTTTATATCCATAAAGAAAAAGTAAATCTGTTTACAGTTCTGTTTCATATGGATGTTGAGAGGTATCCATATATCTCTTCATTTTGCTCTCTAAGTACCAGATTGATGCATCTAACTTCAATATTTAAAAAAAAATCTTCCCGGGGGAGCAAGCCCCCGGACCCCCCTAGAGGGTGTCAGGTCCACTCCCCACTTATAAAAATAGCACTTTACCACTGCACCCCCTCTAATCTCAGATGCACCCTGAGTCATTTTGTTTAAGTACAGTGAGCCTTTCTAAAATATACAGTAAAGAGACAAACCCACCAGCATTATAGGCACCTCCGCCAAAAAAAGAGCACCTGGTCATTTGAAAAAAGGCGCATTTGCGTACCAACATTGAGAGAGAGAAGGGAAAAGAGAGAAGAGAGGAGAGAGAGAGAGAGAAAGATATTTGCGAGTTGCATATTAACTCAGGGCCGGCCCGTAGCACTGGCTAGATGTTCGCCTAGGGCGCCAGATCTGTGGAGGCGCTGCGCTGGCAGTTCTGGGAGGGAAAAAACAATTTTTGACCGTTGCCGCTAATCCTAATTTTCGACCTTGATGTAACAATATTCATAATTAAGTAAATGTAACACCCTTTTCACCCCGGTTACACGTTTCATTTGCCCTGTATGATGGGCGCTGTAAGTGATGAAAATGGGGGATGTTGGCTTATCTGGCGCCCGCAGCTCACAGCCAAAGTGCAAGTGAGCGTGGGAGCGAGGGAGGGTGCACCGGTTCCGGCGCTGTTGTTATTAGCATCTGGTGCTAGCTGCTCTAACGGATATAAGAAGAAGATGTTTCTACAATAATGTGGAGGGAGAGTCCTCTCCAGTCAGACTGAGAGGCTGATAACTACAGCTCAGTGAGGTAATTTAAGGGAATTAACGGGAAGGACTCTGAGTGTTTAGATAGTTCACTTTAGTCTAAGTTACCTCAGTGGGTAAAAAAAAAAAAGTTAACCCTAAAGAAAGTAGTAGGCCTACATCATTAGCTACCATGTCTGACAGAGAGGAAGACAGTGAGGAGAACAGTCAGGAGGGGAGTGATGACAGCTTGTAGGATTACTGGTCATGCTAATGTTGTCTTGTGTTCACCTCATGTGTGTTCACCTCTGTGTGTTCAGTGCCTTGTGTCTGGCAAATAAAGACCCCATCAAAAGGTACAGTTTATTTCATTTTAAGGATGAGCACCAAGAAACATATCCAGGTGCTCCTTTGAGAACCAGGGCAAAAAAGTTATGTGCACCCCTGCTTATAGGATATACTATGACTTTGAGCCAAATTCTTGTTTTTGGGCTGTATCAATAAATTGACTTGAAACAGTTGCTGATTTAGAGTACTGACACCTTTTTTATTCCAATTCAAGCACTGCCAACGAGGCGGTCATTATTGAAAAAAGAACACCTGACAGGGTGGTTACGGAGCACGATGCGTATTGCTTCCGCTATGAAAAAAGTACTCAGCGTCTGGAACTGTGACAACAACAACGTAACTTAAAATGATTGCAACAGATCAAATTTGTCTGTAACTGTCCAATCAGTTCACAGTTTCTGAGCTAACAAGTCCTAAACAATGCCAGAGCCAATACTGTGCTCCTGTTAGTGTTTACTTCCTGTCTGTCTTCTTCTGTTGATTTGTCTGATGTCCAACGCTCCGTCTTTTTGTCTCTTTCCTTCTCTCCCTTGATCCTCCTTAACAACGGTCATTATTTTGCATAGCAGCGGTGTATTATCGAGTATTGACCAACCAGAATTTAGTATTTTAATAATAGTTAGTTCAGAGTTTAAGGTGTTTCAATATTTGATGTAATACAATTATTTGTTTGTGTTTTCAGGCCAGCAGTTCCCCGGCCACACCTTCATCTGCTCTCTGTGTGGAACCTTCTGCCCGGATGCTTTGTTTCTGGAGGAACACGTCAAACTGATACACGCAGACGCCTCCGGTGCTCAGGCTCTCCAGGCTCTGCAGTCCACCTGCTCCGCAGCACCCGACATGGGGGAGGGCGGCAACGACTCTAGGGGGGGCGGAGAGGGGCAGAATGAGGACGGTGAGGGAGAGGGGGCCGACGCTGGGCCGGGAGGGGGCCCCGTGAAGAAGGAGATCAAAATCGATGGCGGGTACGAGTGTGGGGACTGTGGGCGCCACTTCAACTACCTGGGCAACCTGCGGCAGCACCAGAGGATCCACACCGGGGAGAAGCCATTCATGTGTCCCGAGTGCGGGGAGAGGTTCAGACACGCGGCGCGCTTAAAGAGCCACAGACTGGTGCACAGTGGGGCCCAGAGCCCCTTCCCCTGCCCCCAGTGCGGGAAGGGGTTCTCCGTGCTGTCCGGACTGAAGAGGCACCAGAGGGTCCACACCGGGGAGAGCCCCTACGCCTGCCCTCAGTGCGGCCGGCGCTTCAAGGAGCTGGGGAACCTGTACACCCACCAGAGGATCCACAGCGGGGCCACGCCCTACTGCTGCCAGCAGTGTGGGCGGAGCTTCAGACACCTGGGGACCTACAAGAGCCACCGCTGCACCCCCTCGCAGTGAACCTGTCCTGAGGAACGTTTGTAAGAGAAAGGAAATGGGGCTGACTCAGAGGCGAGGGACACTGCTGGTGACACTGAAGGAGGCGCAGGTCAAGTGGAGAACGGGTTGGTGTCCTGAGATGACCCCCGTGTTCGGTCATCCTCGTGACATTTCACACTGAGTCAGGAATCAAGAAAAGCGTCATTGAGCTCAGTTTGACCTTGGAAGCGAAGGTTTGAGGAAACAATGTCAACTCCACGGCACTCCTTATCAGCAGAGGGAGTTTCCATGGAACTGAGGACTTGTTTTTTATGTAAGCATAAAGTCAGCAGGTTTATTATTGACATCAGAAACGTTTGAGAGGACAGAAACACTTACAGTTCCATGGTGGAGACAAGTCAGTCATTCTGAGCTCAGATTGTTCTTAAAGCTGCATCAGAGGCCATAAGCAGTGTTTTAGCCCATCGATCTGTGTATACTTGAAATGTTACCCAAGATGTCATTATCCTTAATTATCTTTTAACCATTTTCTCAAGCATATTTCAGCTGGCTTGACATAGGTAATTAGTTTAATTAAAAGGCAGAGGGTGCAAATCGGTTCAACATTGGAATCTCTCTGTACCCAGGTTTCCATCCCATTGTATCACACATTTTAAGAAAATCATGAAAAAAAAGCCAATTAACGCTTGTTACCATCCACTACCATTATGTGCCAAAAAAGGCCAACTATTTCACCTTAGCGAGGCCCTTTTTTGCTTTGTTTTGAGTTTCTTTTTGTTCAGAATGTTCAGCATTTTTACTCATGTTATCATTTGTATTTCCAACACAACCACCAAATGTGGAAGATGTAGATTTAAAGGGCTCATCAACTCTAAACTGAGGTTTTCAGGTGGTTATAAATGAATGAAAACATGATAATGAATATTATATTCAATTTCTGCTAACATATTCCCTTAAATCCCACACACTAGGCCTCACATTTAAAGTAAATCTTAACCCTAGGCTGAATGGATTACTTATCTCTAACACATTTCGGTCATCTGGTATTTCATGAATGGTTGCCTGGTAAAACAATGAACTCAAAAGGAAAGAGACATTACATTTATGATTCAACATCATTTAAGAACATTTCCCACTGATACACATTGTTCGAGCACAACAGGAACCAGCATAGGAAGTAACATTTATCTTGAGAGACTTTGATTTGTGAAATGGGCTTGAATTAATCTGTGCCTTAAATGGATCTGTAGTGGGACAACAGCACCCACTTGTGGACATACTGTGTAACTACAACAACAACTCTTACTCTTTTTTCCCCCCCATCACACTGCTTGGTGCTATGCATTGAGCAATACTTTTCTCATATCATTTATAACCAGTGTAATGTATGTTACAGACTCATATTGGTCATGTTATACATTTGCCTGTATGAAAACCAAACATTGTGTGATGACAGAAAAAAAAACCTTAAAGGTCCCATGTCATGCTTGTCCGTTTATTACCCGTCCCCTTGTGTGTTATGAAGGTTTTTCTGCATGTAAACGGTCTGCAGAGTCACAAACCCTCAAAGTGCACCCTGTAGCGAGTAAAACTCTAACACAGAGAAGACCTGTCTGTTCTCATTTTCTTCCTGGGTATGGTGACGTGTCCATACCGAAATGGACCAATCCGTGGAGCTCCTCACACACACACACACACACACTCTGCGGCAAAACTGTGACGCGCTGGGGGGGGTGCTAGTGGAGCTGCGCAGATGGGGGTGCTGCAGACCCCTCAGCACCCCCCCCCCTTCCCGCGTCCATTTGCGATGTCTCGCTGTCTCGCAGATCCCACGCAGCAAGCAGGAAATTAACCCAGCTCACACTGTCCGCTCCTCACAGCAGCGAGCCCCCCAACGTCCCCCCAACACAGCACCCAGACCCCACGCAGCATTCTCATCTGTTTGTCATTACTGGTGTCATTTCCTGGTTGCTAACAAACGCCATTGTAACACATAATCACTGATGTTCCGCTGTAACGGTGGTGAACTCATCGGAACAGAGTGTGCGAGCTGACCAATCAGAGCACAGTGGGCTCACGGGGGGGGGGCAGGAGCTCCAACAAGCCGTTTAGGACAGAGAGTGAATACACAGACTTTACAGAGATGCTGTTTGAGAAACCAATGTGAGTTTGGAACATTGAATAATGTAAATCTATTCTAGTAGACCTCAACAATGGAATTATGATCAGTAGAAATGGCCATGACATGGGACCTTTAAAGGGGATTAACAACTCCAGTGTCCCATGTGTTACTCATTGATCTGATTCAGAGGAATGGACTCTGCCTGTCTGTAAATGAGTTGAATGTCTTGGCACTGAAAAGCTAGAAAACAACTTATCCACACCTGTGGAACTGAAACGCTAACCTTCGACAATCTGCTATCTAATAAACAGTTGTCTTAATAGTAGTTGTATATTTAACCAAGAACATTTACTGAAAACTGTACTTACAGGAAATGTGATTCTTATGTTTAATTGTTCCACTTTATGCTACTCTTTATTTAATTCATACTCTACTAGTTGTCAGAAAGGAATATTGTACTTTCATACTTTTTATTCAGAATATAAAACTAAACTAAATAATATATTTATGGAGGAAGCTGGGTAAACATCTACTACTTTTCACAATAAAAGTATTGTCTGTAGCCAACATTATTAAAAAGCTCCCTCTTCATTAGCTACTTCATTAAAACACTATTACAATATTATTAAGTATATGATATCAAATGTAATTACACAACTGACATGGGTAATCCTGGCTTATGAGTCATTTTGCCCCATTTAATCACGACTGTCTCATAATAATTATATATTTTTCAAAGATCATACTGTTGAAGTGTCTTTGCATTATTTCAATACAATTATTATTTCATTATGTTCCATTCAATTCCATACGGTCTAAAAACCTTGAATCAGACTGTAACACTTCCTAGTTGTGACAATCATCAATTTGAACATCAAATCTGCATAAGATATGCAAGACCATGTGCATATGATCAACACGTTCTCACTCCCAACCCGTCACACGTTGACGGTCGGTCAGGGCCCCTCCCCGTCACTCTATTACGGACAGGGTACTCCTTGAGAGTCAGTTTTCAACGGGCAGGGCGTCCCATAGATCAGTGGTTCTCAAACTTTTTTCAATAATGTACCCCTTTGAAAAAAATGTTCAGCCAAGTACCCCCTGATCAGAGCAAAAACTATTTGTAAGGGGAAAAATGCCTATATAAAGAGGTACAGTACAGTGCTGCACCATCGGTGTCTGATTTATTAAAACAACAACCTTGTAACTGAGAAACACTTAAATGCTACATTTCAAATGTTTACAATCCATCACTAAATTCATGGCAAACCAATTTTAACATCATGCAATAACACTCAGACGACATTAGTTGCCTTGAACTGATTGTAATGGCAATTTCCTTCTCCTATGTCCTAGATATGTTTGCCGTTACTTTCACAGAAGGGCTGAAGAGTGATCCAGACGCAGACACAAACAGATGATTTCCGGTCCTTTGTTGAAGTTTATAATGTTGTTTATTCAGCTTTACATACCAGGGTTAATTGTACAGTTTCTAATTGTTGTGATGAGCATCTGCCGGGCTGGTGGAATCGGTATACTCTCTTCCTCCTGTGTCCACATCTCTCCTGTCACCTATGACCTCCTTATATACACCCGGTGCAGCTAAACCCCGCCACCCAGTGTTCATAAATAATATTGCACTATACATATAACTCAAATAAACTGACACACCAACAACACCCACAAAATGGCTCTTACACTGATCTTTTTAATAAGATGTACTTACAATGTAGTGAGAAACATGGGCTTGTGCTTCACTGAGGATCTTTGTCATTCTGACAGGGAGGCAACCTGCAGTTATTACACTTCGCGTTTTGAAATATGTGTAACTCTGTTAATATAAAACCCACACTGCTCAAACTTCGTTACTTTTCCTAAAATGTGTATATTTATTTATTTTGGGGCGTGGGGAATGAAGAGAAAAATATATATGAGCATTTTATGAGCATGGGATTTTGACCCCTCATTGAATGCATAATGCTGCGCAATACTTTGCAGCCACAAGCCGTTGCCAAGCAACGCTTATTGTTTAAGTCCTTTGATAAGCAGGCAGTCATATAATTAACTAGAACTAGCTAGATAGATTTGGACATAAACGCGAGTGATGTCTAACCGGACGCGAGACAGAGATCAGAGATCAGCTGCTGCTGACGGAGAACACGCAGCTCTGCATGATCACAGCTCCGCCGCTGTGACGGACCGTTGAGTGGAGCAGAATACAGTTAGACCTAACACACTTAGCTAGTTTATCTACTCTGGAACTAGCTAAACTAGTTATAAGAAATATATGTATTCTTTACTGTATGAATATGCTAAGATATATAAAGTATGAAACGGTAAGCAGTGCAAGTATAGTATAAAATATATGGATATTAATTTAATGATGATAAATATTGTGGAACAATGATGAAAAATGGGAATGGATGTGGCGACGTAAGACTGTCACAAAACAACAACAAACTTTTGCCGAGCCAATTGGAGAGTTTCATCACCAGCACGTGGTAAAAACCACCAATGAGCGCTCAGCTCGAGATACCAGCGAGTCGTTTCCCATCAAGCATTTCGCTTCCGCAGCCCGTCAATATGGTCTAGCTGCGACCGCGGACAGTACACGACGGTACACGACCAAGCCCCCAGGAAGTGCGCCGGACTCAGATGAAAATATTCGTGCTGGCCAAACGGCGGTACTACACTTCCGTTTGGTTGCCAGGCCCGGAAACACTTTTTCCCATTGACTTACATGGGGAAAGAGTGGTCTGTAACTCGTTGGATAATTTTTTGTAAACTAAATAAACTACCCAGTATGAACACTTGTATAGCCCTTATTAAAAACATTCGTTCCTCAAGTTGTAAAAATGTGCTAATAACGTTATTCTGAGAGTTATTTCCCTCTGCATTATGAACGCGCATCTAACCCACGGGACCGCGCCGCCCGGCACGTTCATGTTACGTGTCCCGACCAATCAGAGCACACTGTGCTCACAGGGAGGGTGGGGCTGGAGCTATTGGAGCTACAACGAGCCGTTAAAGGCAGAGAGTGAAATTCAGTGAATACACGTAGTTTACAGAGATGCTGTATGAGAAACCAATGTGAGTTGCGTTTATCTTTACCCATGGATAAGAACGGATCCATATCGTCTTACTGCCATCCCACGGAGCTGTAATAATGGATATATTGCACATGTTTGCTGTAATTCATTATCATACTACATGGGCTGTATGATTAAATCTTGTACCGTAAATGTTGTATTAAATAAAGTTAATATTACCGACATTATTAACGTCCCTGTAGCTTCGTATTGCACTAAGAAGCGTATTGCTCTGTATATAAATAGGCTATATATATATATATATATCAGTGGTGGGCCGTCAGGGCCAGCAAGGCCTTCTCTGCTGGCCTAAACATCATCAGAATATAAATTTAATTTTGATATATTTTTTCCACAAATATGTATTAAATGATTCCCCATAGTCTATTCTTTTCATTTCATAGCTTTCCTCTTGGTTGCGCTGCTTCCAGCCTCAGAACAAGATTTGGAGGGCTGGCCTTTATGTCAGAGCTTTTATCCAATCATATTTCAGCCATAATGTGTTGCCAGGGTCCAATAAATCTGCCCTTAGGCCTTCAGAATCAACAGTGCGGGCGCCTGTAGCTTAAAGTGAACGGAAACAAAACTGTGGCGTTAACCAATCAGATTTTGAGTTGGCGACAACGGGCCAGCTAGCAGGCGTACGATGACGTCAGCACGTGCACGTCTTTTGATTGGATACGCACTATTGAGAGGCAGAGCTATGTAGAGCTAGCAAACTGAACTTGAATTTGAACGAGCTAATTTGTGTAGATTCTACAAGCTGTTTTTTTTCAACTCACAATGGCTGAAGGAGGAGAAGAGATCGATTTGGTCGCAGATATAATTACAACGCCATTTTCAAGACGAACTTTTCAAGAAAAGCTAGACATTGTGAGAAGAGAACGGCCAACCCCGACGCTAGCGAGTCTATCACAGCGGGGAAAAGGGTTTGTCCGCCACTTTCAAATCACTAACTACGAGCGGTACCCCTGGCTCACAGCCTCCGAGAGGCACTGCAAATTGTACTGCTGGGAATGCCTGCAATTTGCAAATGATCGATTTGGTATTTGGAGCCACACTGGATTTGCAAACTTGAGTTGTCTAACCAAGGCAGCAACGAGACACCAAAGCACGGCTGGGCACTTACAAGCAATGGTGCTTTTGAAAACCTTTGGGGACACCCGAGTGGATCTACAGCTCAACGAACAAGTGCGCCGGGAAACGGAGCTCAACAACGAAAGGGTAAACAAAAATAGGGAAATATTGAAAAGACTGATTGATTGTGTCCTGTTTTGGGGTAAACAGGAACTTTCATTTAGGGGACATGATGAAAGCGCCGAGTCCAG